CATCCTGTCATCACAGCTCCTACTCCTAGAGGTGATTTTGTTCGTTTTCTTCTTCAATTAATTTAGGCTCCGTGCGCTTCCTTAGCGCTCCAGAGCATAAACTTACAAAAGCTGGTTACTCAACATCTTTCCCTGGTTCCCGTGCCTGGGAAGACGCTGTCACTCAGGACCCTCTGTCAGTAAGGGCAGTTCTCAGAGGTTAAAGCTGTCTTTGGTAAGGTGATCTCAAAACAAAGTTACCAGAGTGCCGCGAGCAACTGGAACTAAAGAAGCCGAGAAAACACAAGCGCCCGGCGGCTTAATGGGACTTGCTAGCAGGAGGACAGGGTCCGGAGTTGAGAGCCCTTGGGACGCAAGTGCTGAAAATAGGATCTCAGAGCACCAAAGTAAAAAGAAATAAGACAAAACTTTTAAAACGCTGTCAGGGGCGAGAGAAGAAAGAGAGAGAGAGAGAGAGAAAGAGAGAGAGAGAGAAGCAATATGCTAAGAAGGTAGGCAATCAGCACCACAAAGATGGCCAAGGCGTCCCGATTCAGGAGCGGTCGCCCTGCTCTTTTCTCAGGGGAGACCTGGAAGGGGAAAAATAAAGAACTGGGTGAGCAACATAGAGAAAAACTTTTTTTTTTTTTTTTTTTTTTTTTAATGCGTTGGCCAGGGAAGCATGTAAAAAGTTTTAAAAATGGCTCTAAAAAGATCTACTCAGGGCACCCTTTTGTACTCAAAATGGGACTAGATTGGCTTTTGCTCCTTACACAAAGAATCAAAATAAGTTTTCCACTATTTCTGCAGAGAAGTGAATTTCTTGCATGCGCAGAAAACGCACATTTATTTCATATGTAAGCAGGTTGTTAGAAATGACACTCCAACACTGTCTGCTAGGAAAGTCTAACAGTGGGTAGATGAGGGGAAGAAAACCCAGTCACCTCTGGTGCTATAAATGGATACCCACAAAGGCTCTGGTGAAGTAGATTTTTTTTTTCATTTTATATTCTGAAAAAAATAAATACATTTGATTTTCTTATAATTTAGAATTATAACCAGGTTCTAATTGCAATGACCTTTAAGTAACATCAACTTTTTTCTCTTTTTTTTAAGTGAAATCTGTGTTAGTTTAAGCATTTTGGCAACACATTAATAGTGATGGACAGACCACACCAGCAAAATGATTCTCATACCTTCCTCTTCTAGTACATTTTGCCCACCCTAGGCTTTCTGCATTATTGAAAATTCTCTATGCTTTTCTTAGAGAGAGAAAACAAATACATATAGAAGGATACATCCGTTCCATTTCACTTCTGCCCCTACCTGCAGATCCTTATCAACTCCTGTACTAAGGGAATTATTCTTGATATTTTTTGTATTATAGATGACTTCACAATGTGCTAAACAATTGCAAACTGCTATTAGCTCTGGGAATCAGGCACACCTAAGTAAACACATTAGTACCTGCCAGAGCTGCTGGAAGAATTTGTGAAGACAGCTGAGGAAGACATTGGCCTCTGCTTGAATTAGAGGACTTCCAGGAGAGATCAAAGGCCTAAGTAAGGACATTTAGCAGCCTTGAGAGTACAGAAAGTAGCCAGTTCTTACAGCGTTACCTTTGTTGCAGCACATGGCATAGCCATTCCATCTCAGAGTGACTCTGAACTAGGCTTGCAAAAAATTTGCTTTTTTCAGAGTGAAACGTCTACGATGGAGGATCATCTTTTATAAGTTTAATAGTTTAAGAGAGTGACTGGAGGGGCCTGTCAGAGAAATAGCTTGGTGGTTTGGCTCTTTGAGAAAATACTATGTTATTGATAATTTATCAGTGCATTGGATTCGGCAATTAGATATCCAAAGTTTAAACAAAAATGTTAAAAAAAATTTCAGCTATGGTGTTGTGGGAGAGTGATTTGAAATGATGAAATGGGATAAAATATTACTAGAAGATAAAAACAACTGGGTAAACTAACTTTAGTAAAAAAAAAAAAAAAAAAAAAAAAGTCTTAATAAGGATAGAGGTCACTTTCAGCATCCCAAGATTTCTCTGCTAGTTTCAGAAGTAGTTGTGAACCGTAAATTCCAGCATTCCCTCCACCCCCAAAACATACGCAATAGTTTGGAGAAAAATAAATAAGACTGTTAGACATAAGGGGATTTCCAGTGTTCAGGCTTGGAATTCAGTGATCCAGGTATTAAAATTAGTATGAAAGCCGACATTTGATTTTCTGCAAATCATTTCTGTAGTAATATAATAAAGAAAATCGCTCATTATTTTGTACTTGATAGCTTTATACCCGCCTCTGGAAAGAGGCTTGAATTTAATCCCAAATTGCTTATCTTTACCAAGTTATTATGTCTTGATTTTCTGCTTCCACAGCCCTGTTTATTTTGGCTTTGGCCTCAGTAAAGATTATCATCATTAATATCAAACAAAAACATTTTAATTGCAAACACACCAAGGATTTCATTGGAAAGCCTAACATGTCATCTGTAGCAGTGGAGGTCACATGAAGTCTTTGGGAAATATTTGCTCTATTTAATGAAGAGACTTCCATAGGCAAACTTATTCCAAACAATTTCTCAAGTTACCCAGCTAAGAGAGATAGAAAGGATTTGGCTTGCAAAGACTGAATAAAATCCATCAACAAGTAAAGTCCATGAATTAATAAAAGCATTCTGCTGTAGAGCCATTTATGACACAGATCTTACTATAAGTATATGCTAAATTATAAATTAAATGAGTTCACTTAATCAGTTACATTATTTTATTTGTGTTGCATAATAAATTTGAATTTTAAAAATAGAAGTGTACAGATATACAATTTAGGGAAAAACCCTATTGATTCTCAGGGAGAAAATGATGGGTATCTAATAAGCATAATTAATGAGCATAGACACTACCCAGACATATTCACACATGTTTTGGTTGGATAATTTGAAATGCTTTACCACTTACTTTTTTAACTTACTGCTCTAATTTGGAGTTCACTAGCTAGCCACTCTTGAGAAAGAGCTTTTGGAAAACAAATGTCAAGGAGAGCCATATATTTCCCCAGACCGTAAGATGTTGCTTATTAATTTCCCAAGGCAAGCTGGGCCCAGTGGAATGGGCCTGTAGTCCCAGCTACCTGAAAGGCTGAGGCTGGAGGATCACTTGAACCCAGGAGTTCAAGCCTGGGCAACAGGGGACACATCACCCCTTAAACAGAAAAAAAAAAAAAAAGAGGAAAGAAATTGCCAATGTGCCAAGGCATCTCTTTCACAGAACATGATGGTTAAGAACACAGGCTTGAATCCATTGATAATTGACTGGCTCTGAATCCTGGCTCTATGCAGTACTTAACCAAGTGCAGGAAACTCTGTTCCACGGATGTTCTTTAAAGTAAAAGTAATAGCAGTACCTCTCTCATCTGTTGTAGGATTATGAGTTAATATTTAAATACTAAGAATGGCTCATTTATGTTGCTTTTGTTCTCATTGTTGTAAATACTTTCCCCAGCCAGATCAAAGAAAGGCTGAAGAAACTGACTTTTGGTGGAAGAAAAGGGTCTTTGAATTGACTAATGAAGAAGAGAGCTGGCATCTAGTGTTTATTTTGTGCCATTTTGGCTAAGCACTTCACATATGTTATCTCAGTGAATCTTCACAACCTCAGGAGGAAACGGGACTAAGAATGAGCAGTGACTAGGCCTAGACAGTGGCAGCCTGGATTCCATCTAGGTAGTCAACCCCACACAGGCTCAGCAGTTTGCATCCGCTAAATCTCCCACCTGCCTCTCCCAAAACTTTAAAAGAGATTGTATGTCAATGTCAGCTTCCACTATGAACCTTTCTGCATTTCAAATGTATATTAGAAGAAATCTGAATTTCCCATATACTCAGAAAACACAGTGACTATTATTATCCCCAGGAAGAGGCCTTCCTTTCTGAGAGGAAAAAGGGGCAAGATACAGCTCTGTACCTGCAGGGGGCGCTGTCTGTGGTGCTGTCTGCGCAACAAGAAGGTCCAGCCTCTGGAGGGTTAGGAAGGAAACGGTGGGCTGGGAAATACTGAATCCGATTTGATTTTCACATCTGCTAACTGATGACTAGCTGTTCGGGGGGAGGAGGAAAGGTAGAAGTTCAGGGGTAGGGGAAGGGAGTGAAGGTGCCACCTACAGAATCTAAGAGAGAAGTTGCAATTCAAAAGAAATGGCTTCCTCCTCTCCTCTGCCTCACTTCCCACTGTGTTTCTTGGTGGTCGTTTCTTCCTACGGTTACAGGATAAACAAACCTGGCACACGTTGTAAAATCCGCATGGTGAGGAGCTCCTGGGGCTTCTAGCCTCTCTGGGGCTTTGCTGTTTGGCCCGGCTAAGAGGTTGCATGTGTGTTGTTGTTGTCTTTTGTCCTCAACCATTGAAACCTTCCCTCACTCTAAGCAGCCCTCCCTTCAAAGGAGCCCACCCCACCTCCAGAGACAGATTGCCCATTTCTTTTATCTTTTGTGTGTGGAAAACAAACCCAAGCCAAACGAGGCCTTGAGGATATTCCAGTCTGCTAGGGACCAGTCTAGTTCAAGAAAACTGGGGAGGAGGCCCCGAGATCCGGCCCTGAGGCCAGTGCAGACCCGGGAACTCCAGAGCCACACTTCAGGACAAGAGCGACCTGGGAAGAATAAGAGGGACGGCAATTTGGGGGTCAATCCGCTGAAGATCTTTTCGGGAAATGAGCACAGTTTTGGTGTGGTAATTTCTTGCAACCATATTTTCCTAGATTGAGAATTCCATTGTTAACTTTGGGTAAGTAAATCTCACCCAGTTCTCCAGGTAGAGGAGTGTAAAAACAGACGGAAAAAGATGCTGACAAAAGGAAAATGACATTTTTCTTCTGGGCACTATTCATTTCCAATGACAAGTGTGAGGTCTATGACAGATAGAAAAGTATCCAGTTTAATTCAGACTAAGGAAAGCCAAATTTCCTCCCTTTCAATTGGCCTGTAAGAAAACACCCAAATAAATGGGCTTGTGTGGTGTCTAAATTAAAATATGGCTCCTCTTTATTTTTGTATACATGCCTCCAAACATATTTTTCCAGTTCCATCAAACTAGGACCAACTTTGTTCATATAGAAACTTCTTTTTAATATTACAATACCAGGATCCTCGCACATTTTATATACATCATTCCACATTTAAAATATATTTTAGGTTTACATAAAAAATGAAAGTGCTAAACTATTTACAAAAAAACATTAAATACCCCTAACATTAAATGCAACGTTCCCACTTTAGACAGGAATGAACTTTTTTTGAACATGGCACAAAAGGATCACCGTAATAAAAGTTAATATATTATAAAATCAACCAAACAAAAACAAAATAAGGGGCTAGACCTAAGCCACTCGAGGTTCCAAAATTAAAAAAAAAAAAAAAATAAAAGCCCAAGGCCGAAAGGCTTTTTCATTTGAGCCTGACAACAGTTTTCGCAATGTTTCTTTGTGAATGTGTCTCCTTCTCTTTCACCAACTTTTCGGTCTAGGTTCCTAAATGTTAATATAATGTGACCTAATCTAAAGGATTAGGCCAGGAAGCGTTGGTGGGATCTTCCTGCTGCGTGGAGAAGGTCTCAAGCGCCGGTCCAGTTACTTCTCCACCACCTCCTCCACGCAGGGGAGTTTGCGTTCCTCCGAGGAAATACTGTCCACGATGGAAGAAAGGCATCGAAGGCTACTCGAGGCTGACGAATCAATACTTGCTCCTCCTAAGTGCAAAACACACACACACAAACTTAGCACCCAAAGAAGGAAAACGAAGCAGCTCCGCGCCCCGCGCGAGGCCGCTTTGGCTGCGCAGAAAGGCCTGGTCCCTGCGAGCAAAGAGCGCCCTTTTCGCAGGGTGCGTCCCTGCTGTCGCTTCGAGCCCTCTCGGCCCGAGCATCCTATCCACCTCCCGGATTTTCTCTGGTGCGGCCCAGAGCCCTTTCTTTTACTTTACCTTCTTTAGCAGTTATCACGAGCCCCCTGGAATGATCGGAAACACTTGGCCACTGGGAGCTGCAGGTGCGCAGGAAATCCGCACCCTCAAGCTGGAGGGAAAACCAAAGCAGCAGCAGATTAGGAAAGAAACATCGGTTCCGGGGGTGGGGTTGCGTGGTGGGGGGGCGGCTTTCCTGCTTCCTCGGGCGGGGTACGCATTTCCTGCCTATTGCAAGCACCCGGTCTTCTTGGGCCACTGGGGGTTCATTAGAGACGGAGCGGGAGGGGCGGGCGAGAAAGGGGGAAGGGAAAAAAGACCAAGCAGCTGGAGGTTAAGGCCCCGAGGAAGGCGTTTAATTAGCCTTTGCATTTCCCTGCCCCGGCAGCATCTAGGCTTACGTTTTCTTGCTTGGGTCTGTAGCTGAAGGGGTCCACCCCCAGCTCCTGCATTTTCTCCTGCTGATCCAGCCTGTGCAGCAGGTCCTGCAGCCGCTCAATATAGCTGATGGCACTCCGCAGAATCTCCACCTTGGGCAGCCTCTGGTTGGGGTTGGCCACAGTCCGCCGCTTCAGTGCCTCGAAGGCCTCGTTAATTTTCTTTAGCCTCCTCCTTTCGCGCAGGGTGGCGGCCTTTCGCCGGTCCGTGGGGGCAGATTTTCTCTTGCAGGTCTTGCAAGCCCAGATCAGACACTGGCCGGGGCAGTGTGGAGGCTGCAGGCCCGGGGGCGCCAGGACATGTTCCTCTCCGCTGCTGTCGCTCCCCGCTTCCGGGGGCATTTGGTCCTGGCAGGGGGACAGGGTACCATCACTCCCTGGGTACAAAGGAGAGCCTTCTGCCACTTCTAATGGCTGCAGAGTAACATTTTCCCCATCCAAGTAGAAAAAATAGGAGCCAGTTTCAAAAAGGTCCATCATCATGTTCTCCTCCTTGGCCTCTGACTCGATCTGAACTGGGTGATGGACTCAAAAACCCAGAGGAACCACCCAGATGGCATTTAATTAGTGCAGTGACATAAGTCGACCCAGCTTTATATATAGTAGCTCCTGAAACTCAATCCAACTTTTAGCTGTCATGGAGCATCAGTCTCCCAATGTGATTGCAGCTAGTGCTCTCTAGAACATCTAGTTTGAAAGAAAACTGAGAAGTGTCACCTCCCAGAGTATTCTGACCATCTATGTGCAGACCAGGTTACACAGAGAGAATCACATAATTTAAACAAAGCATTGAACGCTTCCATTTGGGGCAGTTTAGATACTAACCTGCTTACAGGACAACTTCAAAACAACTGGGGATTAACATTGCCCCACTCCCCTCCCCCTGTGCTCATCTGAATTCTAAGTATAGACCCATGATGAAAGATTTCAAAGGCAATAGCCGTTGCTCCAAAATAGCCGGGTTAATATTTGCAGAGTGTTTCAGCTCCTTTCTCTCTCCTGCCTCTCAAAAAGATGCTATTCCTGTGATTAAAACCATTACAGTCCTTCAAAGGTTATACATGACTTTCAGGCTTCAGCCTCAATAGAAGCAGGTAAATCTCTTTCCTCTCTTTTACTAAGGCTGCAAGATGATTTGGGAAATGGAGGGGGTGGCTGAAGGGTTCTCACATCCCATGATACTGGATGAAATGATTCTCTGGGTCCTTCCATAGGGACTGTCCTTGACTATCTTTTTTTTTTTTTTTTTCCTTTGGGCAGAGGGGCAATCAGGATTTGAATTCTGTACCCTTCCATTTGTGGAGCAGTATTACATATGTGGTAGGGAGTGGGATAGAGGATGGGGTTGCAATACATGTAATAAGTCCTCCTTAAAAATAGGTTTAGTGAAAACAAGACTCACAGCTACTTGATATTTCAACATTTACTTGTGGCCCCTTCCAAGGTGCCTCTTTTATGATTCCAGTGCTGAACACTGTGTGCTCACCATTTTTTCTTTTGCATTCTTACTATCCATTGACTCCAAATAAGTTGTTTGATGGGATTTAAGTGAGAAAGGTTAGCAACCAAGGCATGAGCAAGGAAACAGCATTTTTTACATTGCAGCTTGCGCATGGTCCATAAAACATGTATTGTTCTTCGGGAGACAGTACAATATGAAGGTGAAGTGCAGGGGCCCTAGATTCCAAAGAACTATCAAGTCCTAGCAAGGTTAATTTCTATGTATATATCCATGGGTAAGTACTAGATCCTGATGTCTTCAAGATGATAGTGGTTTCCTTACAGTAAGGATTGGTGAGGATTTAATCAAATGATACCATGCATGTGAAGCACGTAGCACATAGCTGCTTGATGAACAACAGTAGTTATCATTTATAATATAAAGCCATGTTAGGGCAAAGACCTGTTCCTGTGGATGAAATAAAGCATAGCTGTTGGAGAGGTTTTTTTTTTTTTCTTCCCTCCGTCTCTTTTGCTGTTCTTTCCTTTCCTTTCACCTTTCCTCCTAGAGCTCTGGAAGGACTTCCTGCCTGTAACTGGCCTTTGGGATGACAGTCAACCTTGGTTTTGGTCTTTATAGTCAGTGCCTGAAAAACTACATGGAAACATAAAATCTTATTGCTCTACCCCAAGCAGTAGTGATTATAAGTTGTGTTCTTTATGACTTTATTTTAAAAAATGAATAGAGTAAAGATAATGCAGGAAATCAACAGTCAGGTAATTTAGAAATTATTAATCAAGTGGCCTATTCTAGAAGATGATTCTTCACACTTTCTATTGAGCCACAGACTGGGATGTTAAGGTTTGATACTTTTGGCTGTTTTTATTCCTTATCAAGTTTAATAAATATTCTTAGATTTTTGGAATGGTAGGAAGCAGAGAGAAAGTTACAAGAGGCCAATACTTCTTCTGTGACCTTTTTTTTCTATTTTCACCAGTTTCTTGGTTGCTCAAGTCAGCAATTAAAACTGCAGATTGAAAGTTTCAGCAACTCAGGGTATAATCTAACATCTATTATAGAAAATTAGCTTTTGCTCTCAACCACACTTTATGTTGTCTTTTGTAAATGTGAAGATAATTTGAAAAGTTAACTAAGATTATGATGATAAAAATCATTAAGATCATTAAGATAAAAATGACTGATTTTTTTTTAAATTCAGCATTTATTGGGTACCTACTAAGTGCCAAATAGTGTCCTGGATGCTAAGAATAAAGCATTAAAAAAATTGTCTCTTCTCATGGAGTCTGAATCTAAAGAAGTGAGTTAAATTAACAGACCAAATGGGAGAAATAGCCTTGGAATTGGGATGGGGAAGGCCTAGATTATAGTCTTTTGGGGCCCGTGAGGATTTAATGAACCCTACTATCTCAAATCCTCAGATGTTTCATTCATAACATTGGTATGATGACAAAAGATGTCCATATTCACAGGACGCTATAAAAATTAAGTTTTCAAAAACGTGAAACCCACCTCAAAAATGTAGCATCCTCTCTGAAAGTACTTTTATTATTGGAATTAGTATGTTCAGAGAAAAATGAGAGAAGAAAAATATCACTACTAAGCAATTTTGAAGCCTGGATAAAGAAATAATGTTTAAGACATTACCATTCTTAGACTCGCCACTGATTTTAAGTGGTATCAGATAGATATTAGAGAGCCTGCACATCATGAACCTGCTAAAAAATATGAAAGTTCGCCGTTTCCTTTTTCTGTTTCTTTCATTCATGTGTCACCACTGGAAAAAGAGCCAGTTTAGAAATGTAGAAAGAGAATTACTTTTTTTTTTTAAGTACATAAAGCTTTGGGGTGCAGATCAAGAGCAACTTCTTAGGCAAGGTATAAAGTCAACCTTCACCTGTTGAATTGTTCCTTATTAAATTATAAATCCCCTTTTCCAACATGCTGTAGACCTCAGACCAGCAAAATTAGTGTGAGTGTTCACCTTGGTTTAAACAGATTTTTTCCCCTTTTTTGTTGTTGTTTTGGGGGTTGAGGGAAGGAGGTTGGAGGAGAAAACAAGGAAATGCCAGCTTGGGAAATAACCACCCTTTATTAGATTAGGTCAATGGGAAAATACGCACTGATTCCAAACTTCTAACTAGTGAACTCTTGGAACTCAAACTGTTTACAAAATATGAGATGCCTGTAATTGCAATTATATTACTTCTCAGTAGAACTTGGAGACACAGACCTTGACAAGTGGTCAAGTCAGGTTTATATAAACTGCAATCCTCCAAGCTTTAAATAGTCCAAATATTTTTTAAACTATGGACGAAGTAAGTGATAATAGGGGAATAATAATATTATCATTAATAAAATCACTCCAAGGGGACTAGACTTCATTCATCATAAAATCTGAAACTAGGTTAGTGATAGAATGGGAAGTTTTCATGTAGTTTACCACCCTGGTGTTCTTACTTCATGCTTATTCATTTGCAAATGATTTTTTCCCATCATCTAAAAAAAGAAAGAAAGAAAGAAAGAAAAAAAAGCCTGAGTGTCTCCCAATTCTTTTCTGTGGAAAGAAGTGGGAAGGAAAGTATTATGGCTAGTCCACGTCAGTGAATTTTAGCTATGAGCCTTTGGAAGGGTTGCGTATATAGTAGAAAAAGAAGAGACCTTTGGGGAAAGACAGAATCTGTGTTCTAGCCATTCTTAAGTATGTGTTTCTAGCCACAGTTTTATTAGAGATCAAAAAGCATATACATTACACATATCATAGCTTTCTTTTCACACTAAATTAAATGATATATGTTGAGCCTGTGGCATGGAATATGCACTCAACAAATATTAATTCTCCTACTCAATTTGTAAGGCCTCCGATGGAAAGAATCATAGTGAATTCATTGAAAAATAACCTAGATTTGTTAAGAAAGATGTTTCTGATAAATTTGGGGATTTGTGTTAATCAAGGTGAAAATACTGAAACTAGTCACTCTAGTAACACAGCTTAATGTATTTACACCCTCATTAAATTTCCAGTTTACTGGGGGACAAAGATACTAATTAAAAGTCACACAAATGAATAACCGAGTTAGGAAAGAAAGGAATGTAGTTCTCTAAGAGTGTGTAACAATAAAGTCACTCCTGAACAGGAAGCTTGAGAAAAGGATGGTTTGGGAACAGAAGTTCCTGAGGTATTGTGGTGGTATTTCTAGGGAACAAAGTTCAAGCTTTTCGAAAAGCCTTTGGAAAGTATCAGGATGATGGTGACAGTAAGAAGAAGCTCAAGGAAGAAATAGACACAGAGACGCAGATGACTGTCAGAGACTAGGGAAGAGATTTGTGTGGGTGACCGCTGGGGGATTTGGCTACATAATCAGGTTTAAAGAAAGCAGTTTCAGCCATAGCTGAAAAAGCAGAACTGAGAGCCAGATAGATGATGATTATACTCTTTCAACTATGAAAAATAGAAGAAAGAAAAGGGGATAGAAGAAAGGAGAGAGAGAAGAAAGACAGGAGAGAAAGAGAGTGAACAGAAGGCAGGCTAGCCCTCAGGGCGAAGGGTCACCCAGCAAGGGCAGAGAGTAGCCATAAAGAATAGAAGGTAAAGGAGGAGCCTGCTGACTGAAAGGCAAAACTCAGAAGAGGCAGATTAGTGCTTTCAATTTGTGGCAGCTAAATGAGTAACATGAGCTCCTGCACCTGTAATTTACCTAATCGGCAGACAGTTTGTGCCCAGAGATTCCCAAACGCTGTGGTAAAAATAGTTTTGCACTTAGACCTACAGAACATTTGAGTCACTTCTGAGGACCTGGGGGAGGGGCATAAACCAAGCAGAGGAAGAGGAAAGATATTAAAGGCGAATCTTCTGCAATCTCCAGTAAGTGGCAGTGAGAAGTTCCGCGTAGAAATGGGGCTGGACCTAGATTAGGAAGGACTTCAGTTTCCAGGCCCACCATGGAGCACCCTTTTAAAAACAGCAGGAAGGAAATGAGTCTAGAACAAGCGAAGGGGGAACCAACGAGGCTGCTCTTCAGATAGTTCAAGAAACACATTTTTGCTCTTTGCTCTCACTCCTGATTCCAAAAATCTGTATTCAGTCATGTACTAGCTGCAAAACGACACTTAAGAAGGCTGCTGTTCATTTCTTAATTCTCAGGCATAATTTCCAGGGAAGGTGACAATGAATGTTTTTCTCCCTGAGAAACACATATTCTTCAGTGCAAAAAATGAAGCCTTCTTCGTAATTCTGCACC